TGAGGGAGAGGGAGAGGGAGAGGGAGAGGGAGAGGGCGAGGGAGAGGGCGAGGGAGAGGGAGAGGGAGAGGGAGAGAGGTAGAGGGAGAGGATCGCTGAAGAGAAGAGGTAAAGGTCCCCGTTCTCTATACACAACACAGATGATGTACACACAACCTTCGTGAAGGAGGGAAAGCACCAGAGCAGTCACAGCTGCCACGTTTACTAGAACACGACGAGCACGACAGTCTGCTGCTTTGGGCTAGGATATGAAACATATTTCCCTGGACAGTCCGAGGAAGAGAAGGAGAAAGGGAGAGGAAAGAGACTACCGATAGCGTAAATGCATTCATCTTCAGCGTTCTCTCGACAGTGCAGACGCAGAGCCGAAGTTGTCGATCGGACGGTACAAAAGTGTAAGGACGTGAGATGAACCAGGAGATAGAAGCACTTGAGTTTGACTATACACATTCATCATCTTCCGGACTCTGGTGACACGGCCGTGCTTAACCAGCGAGTGTCCGCGATGCCTCATGGATCGGAGAGGCCATTGGATCCACAGTGAACACGACGAGACGATAGAAGGAGAGCTCAACTCAGGTGGGAGGCATTATCAGGAGAGATCGAATGTACGAGGCGAGAGGAGAAAGGGTGTGGCTGTGCTGTAAAGGCTCGCATATCCCTGCCCCCCCCCACCGCCCCTCCTCCCACTGGTCGCCCTCGGCCCTCCTCCCATGACCTCTCGTCCTGCCCCAGCCCTCGCCCACAGCCACCCTCACCATGCCTCTCCTCCCTCTCCCGCCCTGCGCAGCTCCCAGCCCCCCTCCTCCGCACCTGCCCTTGTCAACCTCGACCCGCTTGTGTTCGCCGCTCTGCCGAGGGACAAGCAGCGGAAGCTCAACGCGCTGGCGCACTCGATCACGTACATCAGCAGGCTGCAAGCGACAGCAGGAGGGAGGGGGCTAGACGGGAGTTACTTTCCATGTGTGCAGCACAAGGGACTGCGATGATCGCGGTCGGGAGGGGAGGAGGGGGGTGGGACGATGTAGACTATTATTTTGTAAATAAGCGAGGGAGTAAACGACGGTATCTGATCTGAGAGGAGCGGTGTACGGATCTGGACACACAAGTGTATACTGTCGCACACACATGTAGCTCTTGTGGGTATGGGCGCCTGGTCGTAGCAGGGAAGGATACTCGAGGCGACTGATACACCTGTCGTCACACTGTGCATACCCTAAAGGGGATGGGCACAAGTATGGTGGTCGAACGCTTATGCTCACTGGCAGCAGGCGGCTCCGAATGATCATGACGAGAGGATATGACGTGAAGGGGAGAGTGAGCGGGGAAAGCTGGTAGGGAAGGTTGCTCCCTGAGGACGTTCTTGTCTACAATGATGATGGCAACCGTGCACAGACATGTTTCTTCTGGTTGTCGTGGTACTGATTTTTAACTTAACCTTGAGTAAAGAAGACCTGTCGCTTCCAAGAAGATATCTTGAGATGAGACCAGCGGTTGGGGGGATAGCCTTCTCGAGGTACTGGAAGGTTCTAGAGGCTTCTTTTTCAACCGAGAAATGACCATCCCTCGTGACTAGCAGGGCCTCTTGGCCCATAGAGGTCGTGACCAAGCAGGTTGACTAGCATGCGACACATTGTCGCTAAGCCGCCACGGATATCACGAGAGGGTCCCGTGATCCGTGAGGGGGGCAGCCGGGGCCCGCCGGTCTCGTGTGCTACCGGGGGAGGAGGTAGAGGGCCTGAGACATGCCAGGCTTCTAGCGGCACTGGCGTCCAAGAAGTCAAGACCTTGCCTCGTGCCTCATAGACGCGATCTCGTGATACGTCGAGCTCTGAAATGAAGCCCTTTCAGTCCCGCGAGACCTGACGCCTGGCTCAAACGTTGCATGTTCGCGACTCGACCCGGAGAGCCGGTCCGAGGGCGCTCGCTTCTCTTGTATATCCCTCCCCCCCCTTGCCTCCCTCCTCCCACTGGTCGCCCTCGGCCCTCCTCCCATGACCTCTCGTCCTGCCCCAGCCCTCGCCCACAGCCACCCTCACCATGCCTCTCCTCCCTCTCCCGCCCTGCGCAGCTCCCAGCCCCCCTCCTCCGCACCTGCCCTTGTCAACCTCGACCCGCTTGTGTTCGCCGCTCTGCCGAGGGACAAGCAGCGGAAGCTCAACGCGCTGGCGCACTCGATCACGTACATCAGCAGGCTGCAAGCGACAGCAGGAGGGAGGGGGCTAGACGGGAGTTACTTTCCATGTGTGCAGCACAAGGGACTGCGATGATCGCGGTCGGGATTGGGAGGAGGGGGGTGGGACGATGTAGACTATTATTTTGTAAATAAGCGAGGGAGTAAACGACGGTATCTGATCTGAGAGGAGCGGTGTATGGGGCTGGACACAAGTGTATGCTTTCGCATGCACACGTTGGAATTATTTTTCCTTTCTACTTGTTGCCCCCTGCCTCTAGTCTTCTCATCTTGGTGGAAGCTCAGAGAAGTCACTGTGGATGATATGAAAACTTCCAAGCATGCCCATTGAGCAAGCGATCCAAGCGCATGGCCATCTCCTGGCTCTCCTTTGTGACCTTCCGAAGTTTGATTGCATGCAGGGTAGCCTGTAGCTCCGCGTTGCAAGATCCGACCGGCGGGGTCGTCCAAAAGCTTCTTGCTTCACTGACTTGCAAGTGACAAGTCTCAGCGTCCAGGTATGAGCGGTGAGATCGCTCAGTACAGCTCCAGGCTCACCATCCCACCCGGGCTCTCAGCCTGTAACAGTGGGCCACTGCATCTCTAGTTAGTGCTGGGCCCGCTCCGGCACGTCCGAGTGCCCCGAAATTTCCTTCACAAAGAGGTTGACAAGCAAGGAGGACGCGGGAGTGAAGGGGGAGGTGAAGGGGGAGGGGAGCGCACAATGCTGAGAGGTCGAGCGATGGAGAGCTCCCAGTCTCTGAACGAGACGACGAGAGCAGCTTCAACAGACGCGTCCTTCGGCCATCTCTCCTTGATCACAGACTTCTCCTCCATCGACAGTGACTTTGGTAGAGCGAAACTGCTGAGGAGAGTTTGAAATGAGCTCATCACCTCCATTTCAGGCGAAGACCATGCACCTGACATGAGAGTAAACACGCCAGCCGCCAGAAGAGCCATGGACGCGAGGAGGAAGGTTCCTCCTCCTCCTCCTCCTCCTGCTCATCACGACTTGACCTGTTGCGTCAGCCCAGTGACGGCGGTCTAGAAGTTTCACTTCCTAAGAGTCAGCCGCACCAGCCGATCGCAGCCCACCAAGAGGAAGAGAGCGCTGTTGTCTTGCGTCTTGTGGACGAGCTGGGGAGGGTGAGCATTACAGAGCTCGCTCGCTCTGCTCTGATTCGCGATGCCAGACATTCCGACTCGCGGCGGGTGCTGGGCACATGTCGATAGGAAGGTAGCATCTTAGAAGACGTCTTGTCCACGTGCCCGTGACAAGTCTGCAGAGCAAGGAGATGTGATATCGTCTTTGCGTTCGAGGTGACCTCGCGTTCTGTCGGGGTGAGCTAGGGTGAGCTAGAAGAGCATGACTGTCGACAGGTTGTTTCCAACAAGCATGCCTTGTTGGTTTCCACTCCACAGTGCCCAAGCGATTTCATTCTTCATGATCTGTGCGTTTGTTTGCCTCATCTGAGAACATTTGTGATGTTGCTGGTATGCAGTGGTTCCAACGGTACGTATGTCAACGGAGTGAAAATGGTCGTAAAGCAACACAAATTGAAAGTAAGAGGTCTCACTGATGACTGGGAATGTGACTAACATGCTGGATAGCTTGGAGATGTTCTTCACTTTGGAAAGGTCAAGGATGCTACACGTTTGCGGGTTGCTAAACTCGGTTCGTTCCTCTTGGTCAACGGGAGGAAAACTGACAGTCACATCGAGGCCCTGAGTTCTCAGAGCAAGAATATCCGATCAAGTGCGGAGAGCTCTCCGTAAGTAAAGGGCCTGCAACATGACGGTCCATGCAGGGGAGCAGAGGCTTCTAGTCGAGCAAGCTTGTCGTCGTCGATGTTGTCACGTCAAGGTGTTAGCTGGTTTCCTGACCCCAGGATGTTTGCTGCTGACCTTGACCCTTCAGCTGACATCCTCTCCGCAAATCTTGACCTGGAGTCAAACACGCAATTCTCTCGTTTGCCATCGATCTCCTTCGGCTCTCACAGCAGGTGTCTTCTTCGGTACAAACTTTGACTACCTGCCTCTCACCTCTACAACTGCTCAGAGCCGCGACCCCGTTGTCTGACAGCGGGCATGTAAGTTTTCATGCTTTGCTTCCTGCCAGTGGGGCTCGGTGAGGTGCAGCTGTAGGGTCAGATCGACAGATGCAACATTGAGGATGGGAGGAGAAGTCAGTTCTCTGTTGCGAACACTGTTGTATCGACAGCCTCGAAGCAGAGTGTGGTGTATACTCGCCTTCAAACTGTGAGTGAATGCGATGAGCACATTGCAACCTGTCGCTCATGGGTGCATTGGTCGCAACAGGTGCGAAGGGAGTTGTCAGTCCTGCTCAATGGAGGAGAGGAGCCGGTAGAAGAAGATCTGCAGAGCAGCATCCACAACAGCGAGAGTGAAGAGGACGACTTCGTGGAGAAGCAGGAAGAAGTCGCAAAGGAAGTAAAGAAGCCACTCTACAGGTACGGAGACCGGGTGATGTTCAAACATCGAGTTCCGGGGATCGGCATCACCCGCGCTCAAGGCATTATCACCAATGTAAGCCCGACTCCTTGCTGCTCCTTGCCGCTCCCTCCTGCCTCCTGCCTCCCTGTCTCCTGCCTCCAGCCTCCTGCCTCCTGCCTCCTGCCTCCTGCCTCCTGCCTCCTGTCTCCTGCTTCGTTCTCTTTCTGCTTCGCCCTCTCCCTTACCCTACTCGCCCTGCCGCTCTTGACATCGACGGTCGTCTCCCGGTATTACAGTGATCTCTTCTTCAGGTACGGACCGTCCGAGACGAAGGACCGGAACTTTTCTTCAGGTATTACGTTGCGGTGGAAGAGAGGAGGAGGCAGAGAAGGGGAGGAGGGGGAGGAGGGGAGGAGGAAAAGGAGGGAGAGGTGGAGAGACTAAGGAGCGTGCGGGGGGGGTAGGTATGTCGTCAAGTCCACGTCACTCGGCAAGGAACGAGCCACGTAGGGATGAAGTGTACTGCTTCCTCCTGTGACGATATCGATCAGAAACCTGGACGAGGACAAGATATTGTGTCTGGTCAACTGCAAGCCCAGCACGCGGACGAAGCAGCAGGCATTGATGGAGGTAGAGAGCATCGTCGAAGTCAACAGGCCGGATGGGATGTGAAATGCTTCTTGACAACAACAAAGAATGTGGAAACTATGACAAGCTTCACTCTGTGAAATCTCTTCACTGGTAGCCCGTGACGCGACGACTTCGTCTTCATCAACATCTCGCTCACATGGCTCCTGCCTGCTTGAGCATCGCTTGCAGCTCGCCTTGAAACCAACAATCACCTCCCCTCGACTCCGACTGGCTCACCAACATACCTGACTTCGCCTTGGCCACCACATCGTCTCCTCCTCCAACGAACTGCAGCACAGAGTGAGGGACGGAGCTCGGGGTAGCATGCATACCTTCCCGCCGACAAACACACGAGGAACAGAGCGAGCGCCAGTAAGAGAGAGCATGTAGTCCTTCACTTCACCTTCAGTTCCTCCCCGTCTCCTCTCTGTGAGCTCACCTGAATGTCTGAGCCATCAGCCCGCTTGTCCAGCTCCATGGCCTCGTACTTGACACCAAGACCATCAAGGGTCGACTTGGCCTGTCAAATATGTCACAACCTTTTCGTTGGCAATGAGTGGACATGTCGGGGAGAGGAGGGCGGAATATGGGGAGAAGAAGTGGAGACAAGGAAACAGGACGATACCAAGACAGCCAAAGCAGAGAGGGGGGAACAGAACGAGGAAGAGGAGAGGAGGAGGAACGAGGAGGAAGACGGCAAGAAGAGGAGGGAAGAGACGATCTGTACCCATACCTTGTTGCAGAATGGGCAATATGACTTGGAGAAAACCATGACCTTGTTACTAGAGAGGCACAGTAAACACATATGTTGCAGCAAAGATGAGCACATGCTGATTACCTCTTAATCATTTTCTGCGCAAGATCCTCAGCGGAAGCCTGGCAGGCAAGGAGTCCACTCTTCTTCGACGATCTGAGGGCCATGGAGGGCACGCGGGAGGAAAAGTCGAACTTGGCGAGACCGAAGCCCGAGGGAACGAAACCAAGATCGCTCTTGAGAGCCATTCTGATAGTCGGCAGCATGTCAGGAGGGGGCTGTGCAAGAGATGAAGAGGGACAGATAGCACCACGAGCATGCTCACTACACATGGCCGCAGGATTCGGTACACCTTGCGGCGCAAACACATCGGAGGGGCAAGGAATGCAGCAGGGGGCGCATCCTCTCAGCACGAGCACATGGAGCATGAAATTACAACAAGTTCGCCCTCCAGCCATGCGCTCACCCGCTCGCCACCGTCGCCGCCGCCATGAACGCGATCACCTTCACTGCCATCATCTTCGTGCCTTTGTGCCTCTTGACAGTTACGGATTCGCTGTATGTGTAACGGTCAGCTTAGACCTTGAGGAAACAAGGAAACCGATGCTGTAACGGTGCAACAGTTGCACTTGACAAGACGTTATGTCCCAGTAACGGTTTCAGTTTGAGCGATGGCGATATCGATCTCTGCTTGAAGCATTGCGCGAACTTGCGCGAACTTCGCAAGAGAGGTACAAGATGCGAAGGGAGGAGAGGAGAGGAGAGGAGAGGAGAGGAGAGGAGAGGAGAGGAGAGGAGAGGAGAGAGGAGAGGGGAGAGGGGACTTGCTGCTGATTGTTGTTTGTTCAGTCACAGCGACACCTGACTTTGACGATGTCTCACGTTCCATGAAGCTCCAACTGGACTTCTCACAGTAAGCATGTCCGAGGCACACCTAAGAGCGATCTCCTCCCTCCTGTCGAGGGGATCCCGAAACTTCCAGGAAGATAGTCTCCTTGCGAGGTGAGAGTGGAGGATAGCCTGATGCTGACCTGCCCGCCAGCTCGCTTATGACGTGCATGCAGGTTTGTCCAGGACACTCCGCACCGGTCATCCTTTGTGAGACGGACGAAGACCAGGGAAAATGTCGAGGATCGAACGAATCTCAAGGAGTTCACCTACTGCTGTGGCAAGACATGCGTATTGGAGAGAGGGGTTCCTATGAATCCTATCCACCCTGATGTAGAGAACCTTCAAGTCCCTACTGACAACATCAAGTTCAGTCTGTCCCAACCGCTACCAACAGGACTAGACATCGATGCGGCAACTGGAATCATCTCGGGGACGCCGGAGGTCTGCACGTCGACGCCAGCCAGTGACTTGCCTCCGATGCCTCCTTGGAGTATCTTGCTGCTGATAGTCGAGAGCGCCAACGCACAAGACTCAAGTCATCTCCAGCTTTCTAGGAAGTCTCAAGCCCGAGCTAGGTCTGTTCGTGGTTGTCACTGCTGGAGCTCTGATGCCGTAGGGTCGATGGCAGGGCGGAGATAAACTTCTTGGTCGTTGAACCGCTGTCCGAGCTCAAGTATGAAGTTCCGCACCTCGTGTTGAGACGCGGAGAGGAGATGGAGCCCTTCAAGGTTGAGCTGCTGCCTGCTGACGTCTCCCTGATAAGCTTTCTCGGTTCTTCAGCTCCGGGGACAGAGAGGAACTCGTGCGATGTACCGAGTATCGCCCCCTCTTCCGCTTGGAATGGAAATCAAAACGTCAGATGGAAGGTATGCTATGCTTCCTGTCTTCTTGTTGACCTCAAATCCTTGCAGTATCTTCGGCTGTCCGCGAGTTTCTCTTCCTCCGACCGCCTTCACAGTGATTGGCAGCAATCCGTTGGGGGCGAGATCGACGAGTATCAAACTTGAGGTCCAGAGCCGCCCGGAACAGGCTCAGTATGCGTATCAGCACATGACGCTAACGGTCGGGGATCCGATCTCCTTGAGATGTTTGAACCATACGGGCGAAGACGACGAGAGAAGATCAGAAACCTACCATGTCTCCCCTCCGCTCCCTCCGGGGCTGATCGTGGACCAGCAGACAGGGTAGGTGACTTGCACTGTACACAGCTGGGATGAATGAGATTTGCTGTGGGTCAGGACTCTGTTTGGGACTCCCTACACTCCGACAGAGAGGGTAGCACAAGTGCGATGGAATTCCGGCTATTCTCCTCACTTGACGATCATCGGGTACGTTGCACGCAAATTCTGCTGCTGCCGTGTGCTGATGGATCTGATGGGCAGCTCGCGAATGATTCACTCGGTGGTGCATGAAAATTTCGTGGATCGAGCAGAGAAGAGCATTTCAATTGCAGTCTTTGAGAAGCCAGGTAGACGGAGGGGAAGGGAGGAGGAGGAGGAGGAACAGAGTCAGTGAGGGGAAAGGGAGAACCAGGAAAGGTGGAAAGAGGCAGAAGGAGGGAGCAGGGAGGCGAGTGATAGGGTAGGGAGTGGCGGTGAAATTTGAGAGGAGAGCAGGTCGATTGTGACCCATCTTAATTCAACCTTGCAGGCTCGCTTGTCGTCGAGCCGCCAGAGATCCTTCTACGTGTGGGAGAATGCATGCGGCCAGTGTTTGTCTCTGCGAGAGGGACGGGGCTGCAGTTCCGCATCTACCCGGCCCTCCCTCGTGGTATTGTGATGGACGAGACGACAGGGACGATCTGTGGGATTCCTGAGGAGGATGTGACAGTGGGGAAGTAGGACTGCGGCAGGCTGTCGAGCTTCTCTGACCATTCTGTCCTGTCAGGCCCTTCATCATCACTGCGTTCAACGAGACTGGAGAGGTTTCAGAGAAGTTCCGGTAACCAAGTGGCGGGGGATGGACGGGAAGGGGGGAGGAAGGGATCAGAGGAGGGGCCTGTATCTCCCTGACGCTAAATGTTGCAAGCCTCGGTGTGGTCAGCATGCCACACAGCCTGTCGTACAAGTTTGACAAGGTTGTCTACTGCGTCGGAAGAAGTACTCTATACCGCAGCAAGTGAGTCGAGTGACAGTTGACACCGCATGTCAAACTTGCCCGCAGGGACGCGTTCTACTCGCACATCCGCAGGCAGTGGCAAGAGCTGCAGGTCCGATCTAGCTGGACTCCTGCTGTCTCCTCCTCCCCAGCTGATCCCCTGCTGCAGGTCAAGGCGGCAAAAGTTGTGCAGCGATTCTTGCGGAGGAAGCAGCTCAAAATCTACGTGAAGAAGGTGAGAATGCCCAGTACGTGCCTGCCTGTTTGACGTCCTTCCGACCAGCAATTCCTGCAGTGGAAGAAAGTGAAAACTAAGAATGCCGTGCGAACCCTGAGACACTGGTAGGGGAGGATGGGAGGAGAGGGAAGGGAAACAGAGAAAGGGAGGAGAGTGGAGAAGGAGGAGGTTGTGGTCGATGGTGAAGAAAAGAGGAGGTGGAAAAAGAGATGAGAGGGGCAGAGGAGGAGCAGGAATAGGAACAGGAACAGGAACAAGTGGTGGTAGTGGAGGGAGGTGATGCTGCTGGTGCAAGAAATGGATGGGGGAAGTGACTTGGGGAGGAGAGATGCAACAAGATGTCAGCGATGTCGCAGGTACCATCGAAGGATGTACAAGAACTTCCTGATGCTCAAGTTCAAGAGGTGGAAGGAGCATTTCGACCGAGTGCTGGGGATCATCAAGAAGTAAGAGAAGCGCCGAAGCTTGCGGGAGATGGGATTGGGGAGGTATTGAGGATGTGGCAGGATGCAGAATCAGTGGAGGATGAACACCATGAAGAGGGGAACCCAGGGGGCTGGAGCAAGGAACTCGTTCGCCTTTGTCGCCCTCCTGGTCAAGAGCGCGTTGAAGTCTGACATGACAGAGACCAGATTCATGAAGAAATTTCTCCGAACTTATAGGGTGACAGCACGCGATCCCCTAGGCCTCCTCTCCTCCTCTCCTCCTCCTCCTACTCCTACTTCTACTACTTGCACTGCTTTTTCTGCTCCTCCTCGTTCTGCTCTTCCTCCCTCCCTCTCCTCCCCTCCCATTTCACTTCTACTTCCTTTCTACCCCTCTGCTTCCTCCCTTGCTCACCACCCCTCCCTCCCCCGTCGACTTCTCCCTCCGCTTACTCTGGCTCAGGTTTCCACCATGATGGGCAACAAGGACCTGTCTCCGCCGACCTGGAAGACTCTGGAGCACTTCAACTCCACCAAGGAGGAGGGCTCGCTGGTCCACTCCGAGCTGAGCTCCCAGCTGAGCTCTACCATGACAAACCAGCAGAAGGCTCGGACCAACTACGTCCGAGACGTGGCGAAGCTGCTGGAGATCGGGAAGAAGCATCCTCCTCGTCTCCTGCTCAACCACATGGGCTTCCATGGTACCCGCGGCTGCGGCAAGGGAAACATCGTGACCTACCTCAGGGGCGGAGGGCCCTGGAGCTTCGAGGTGAGCAGAAGATGTTGAGTAGCATACCGCTACTGTACCTCATTCCTCTCCAACATCTCCTCTCACTCTCTCTCCCTCCCCCTCTTCCCTCTCCTTCCTTTTCCCTTCCTCCCTTCCTCTCTCTTTCTCCTATTCCTCCTCGTCCCTCCCTCCTCACTGCATCTCTCGCTCCTTACTCTCCTCTGCTCAGGTCGACCCTCCCCTCCCCGAGGGCCTCAAGCTAGACCCCAGCAACGGCTGCATCAGCGGGTCTCCCCAGCAGCGAGTCCACCTGCACCCGACCTATCATCGCGTGACGGCCTCCAACCTGGTCGGCAGCGTCAGCAGGGAGATCGCTATTGAGATCTTCGAGGTTCCCATCGCCCCCGGCATTCCCAACTTCGCCCACCCCCACTGGTTCCTTGGCATCGGCCTACCTGCCGACAACCCGGTCCTGAAGCCCACCGGTACCCTCCCCCTCGCCTACCGCGCGCTCTCCGACCTCCCCGACGGCCTCCAGCTCAACCCCAAGACGGGCCGGATCTCCGGCAAGGCCTACCGGTCCGAGGTCCGCCGGGTCCTGGTCGAAGTCTCCAACGACGCCGGCATGGCAGTGGGGGAGCTGAGTATCCACATACAGGCTTGCCCTCAGCTGGTGGTCTACTGGGAGGGGATGGAGATCAACAGCGAGGATCGAGAGTCCAAGAGCTCCAGCAGGTGCATTACCTACGCCCTCGGGGTTCCGATCCGGCCCAACCCGGTCTTCACCCGCCGCAAGCAGCACTCCCTCCGCCACAAGGTCCTCCGGCTCAAGACCAGGAGAGAGTTCCGCAAAGTTCTGTGGTGGCTCCTCAGCCGGCCCCTCTATCACTTCATCGCTCAGTTCATGCCCCTCAGCGGCAGCGAGGTCGACTTCCACATCGTCCCCTCCCTCCCTCCCGGCCTTCTCTTTGACAGCAGGACCGGCCTGATCACTGGCACCCCGCAGGAGACCTCTCCTCCTACTGTCTACCTCATCACCGCCCGCAACAGCGTCGGCGAGGCTTCAGCTGAGATCCGAATCGAAGTCCAGGAAGCCCCCAGCACGCCAGTCTACGACCTTCCTCGTTCTCAGCTCCACCGTCAGCCTCTCTTTCTCCTCGGCTACCTCAAGAGCGAAGAGATTCACGTTCATCCCCCGTTCCTCCGAGGCTCTCGCCCCCTGCTTTTCACCATCCAGCCCGCGCTGCCGCTGGGGCTCAACCTCAACTCAGAGGACGGAAGCATCCGCGGGAGGGTGACCAGCCTGTCGCCTGTCTGGCAGCACGAGTATGTCCTGCAGGCTAAGAACGTGTCTGGGGCTGCTTCCTGCCGCCTCCGGCTCTACCCGCACGCTCGCCTGTATGGCAGGGTGTTTGATCTGAATGTGCTGGAGGAAGAAGGAGGGTTTCTGCCGCATGGTTGCTCGGAGGAGGAAGTCCAGCTGGTCCAGAGGAGGGTGTTCGCCTTCAAGGAGATGGAGTCCACCAGGGACTTGCTGCACGAGGCTGACGAGGACGGGGGGACGTTCTCTCGCTGCTCCTCCTCGGAGTCAGTCAGCCTCCCGATCGAGGTCGACACCCCCGACAGCCTCGTCCCGGACAGCATCTACCTCAGAGGCCACAGGAGCAGCCTTCCCACCTCCCTCCCTTCTTTTGAAAAGTCGAACCGGCTGTCGTCCAAGTCAGCTGGGGAGGTGGTGAGGCTGGTGTTGGAGGGAAGCAGGATTAGGACGGATCGGAGCGGGTGGTTCCTTGCTCGGGTGCTGCCGGGCCTCTTCGCCTTTGCTGGCAGGGACATGGCGATTTCATCGCACGTGCTGGAGAGGACGACGAAGAAAACGGGAGAGGAGCAACCAGGTAGCATATTCCTCCTCCTCCTCCTCCTCCGATGATGATGATGATGATGATGTCATCATTGTCATCATCATCATTGTCATCATCATCATCTCTCTCTCTCTCTCTTTCCCATCCCCTTCCCCTCTTGGCTCGTTTCCTATCCCCTACTTCCTCCACCCTTTCCTCCCCCCCCGCTCCCGCCCTCCCCCCTTCTCCTCCTCCTCCTCCACCACCACCTCGTCCTCCTCGTTCTCTGACCCTATCTTTCTTCCTCCTCCTCCTCCTTCTCCTCCTCCTCTGATTCTCCCTTTCCTCCATTTTCTTCCTGTCGCTTCCATCATACCCTCACAGGATCAAGCATCAAGGTCTGCTTTTGCTTGTCCCCTTAATCACACGCTGAAGATCCAACAGCAGCAGCCGCTCACGATCCTTCTGAGACAAGACGAACAAGACGTAACTCCCGACCTCTTATGCTTCCTATCTGCTGACATACTTCTCATCTTCTCTCCCTCCTCCTCCTCCTCCTCCTCCTCCTCTTGCTCCTCCTCCTCTTGCTCCTCCTCCTCCTCCCCCTCCCCTCCCCCTCCTGCTTCTCCTTCTCCTTCTGTTCCCTCGTGCCATGTTCTTCTCCCCTGGTCCTTTTCTCCTTCCCCTTTCCCATCCCCTTCCCCTCTTGGCTCGTTTCCTATCCCCTACTTCCTCCACCCTTTCCTCCCCCCCCGCTACGGCTCAAAGAACTCAAGTAAGTTGACTTGCTGTCTCCTCGCTCAGTCTTATGCTCCACCAGCGGCACAAGAGTTTTCCCTCCTCCCCGGTCACGATTGCTCTTTCCGCCTCCTCCACTGCCCGCCCATCCCCGCCAAGAAGGCAACCTGCCCCCTCCCACTCGCACACCCCAGCTGACCTCCAGCAGGCGATTCTCAGCTTGACCTGGTCGTGCTCGAGCTCGAAGATCCTGCGGCTCTTTGTGCTTGCTCCCTGGGGTCAGACCTGCAGCCACGACTCCTCCTCCATCCACCATGCCGAGCAGAAAGGTCCGGGGGCTCGTTGCCCTGCTGGGGTCCTGCTGGGGTCTGACGGGCTAGCAGCTGTCAGGGTCGTCCAAGGAAGAGATGATCGCCTCCGAGGAGGACCTGTGATAGGTACGTGAGGAGGAGGAGGAGGGAGGAGGAGGGAGGACGAGGACGAGGACGAGGAGGAAGGAGGAAGGAGGAGGAGGAGGGGCGGCGGCCGCGGCGGCGGCGGCAGCAGCAGTTAACTTGTTCTGCGCAGCGATGATATGTTGCGGAGAGGAAGGAGTTTTCAAGTGCCGGGTGTCTCTTTCCAGCAAGGCGGTGAAGAAGAAGAAACCGGGTGAGACTCGAACGTCCTATCGCTTTTGAACTTCCTTTCCTCTCCTCCCCTCCTCCCTCCTCCCCCCTACTCCTCCCTCATCGCTCATCGCTCATCGCTCATCACTCCCTTCGTCCCTTTTGGTCCTCCTCCTCCTCCTCCTCATCATCATCATCATCATCATCATCATCATCATCATCATCATCATCATCATCATCACCATCATCAAACTTTTTATTTGCTGCAATTTTACTTGATATCTTCAGACATGCTTCACCCGGCCTGCGATGCAGAGGTTATCCCTCCTCTTCCTCTCACTCCTTCATTGCACATTCTCCCTCTCCTCCTTGTCAGTTCTTGTCGCAGAATCTTTATGAAGCTGGCATCGACAAGAATCAGCAAGATCCTGATGAAATAAGTGAGACCTGAGATCGAATGTTCCTTCGCCTGCTGCTGCTGCTCCTCCACCACCACCACCACCACCTGCTCCTCCTCCTCC